TATTAGTTTAGTTAAAAAGTTAATTTAGTTTGTTCCGTTTAGTTACTACTTATTTAGTAGTAACTATTAGGTATACTATAGTATTATATTACTTATATATATATATATATATATATATATATATATATATTGGGTGCAGTTGGCATACAGATGCATCCGTAGCTGTAGAGGTAAGGTGCACCTTCCAATTTTATCATGGTATATAATTTTGATGTAAAATGTTCTTAGGATTATCTCAAAATCTATTTTAATATCTAATTATAAAATTTTAAGTTTAAAAAATGGTTAAAATCGAGTAAATCTATAAACATATGAAAATCTTGAAAATGGACGGTGTAGATAATATGTTGTAAAATGCACTATTTCTGAGACTTAAAATCTTTTTATTTTTCATGGTCATACATCTCGATGTCGAGATGATCAATCAAAGGGTATTTCAATATTAAAACTACCTTTTTCGATGGATTTTTGAGGTGCATCTGTAGTTCTACATATAAGGTTGCAACCTTATATAAACTTTTTCCATATATATATATATGACGCCAGATTGAATCTGAACCGATCCAATGGTCACGATTTCATTTCGTATTTTAATTTAAATTTTTTTGTACAAATCCAAATCACTTAAAATTTGGAGCATCCATTCTTTAAAAATACGAGAATCTAATAAAAATATAAAAAACAAATATTAGGTGCGCCTAATGAAATTTTCATTGGTATTTCGATCAATTTGTTTTGTGAAATATGTTTTTAATATTTTTATTGGTGCGCCTTGATGAGAAGAATTGATACCTCAAATTTCATATGATTTGGAATTGTAGAAAATATTAAAATTATACTACGAAATAAAGTCACGGCCGCCATATCAGCTTAGATTTAATTTGGGCCGTTGGACATATACTATTCCATTAGCCCATGGGCAGATAGGATATATATATATATATATATATATATGAGTAATGATCCTATGAGACCCTTACACATATGGGGTGCATAGGACCCCCTTTAATAACCGTCAAATCTTCTCACACATCTCGATGATTTATAAGGTACTAAGTCACCCAGTAATGACATAGAAACCAACCGATTGGAATGGTAAATGGGGTGCTGAGTCACCCAGTAAAGACGTAGAAACTAACCGATTGAAATATGGTAAAAAATAAAAAAGAGAAAAATCTATGCAGCCGCTCTCTCTCTTCCTCTCTGCAACAAGGTAAAAAGCCAACACAAGCCGAGCAGTTGTGTATGTTCACCATTATTGCATCCATGTTTCTCAATCTAAAAACCCCCAAACCCTAACTTTTAACTCGGCAAAATAAAAGTTGGGTCTTGAAGCAGCGAGTGAAAAAAGAGAGATGAAAAGTGTGGGATTAAAGAAAAACAACATTGGTTTCACAAGAAAACTCAAATATGTTTCACAGAAACACACATTGCCTGATATACACACAAATGTTAGGATGTGGATATCTAGGGTTTCCGGCAGGGGTTTTTTGGCAGGGGTTTTTTCGACAGGGGTTTTGAGGAGCTGCGGGATCAGGTTCTGACAGGGATTTTGAGGAGCTGCGGGATCAAGTCCTGGTTTTGTTATCGGTCGGCATCTGATTATTTCTCTGTGGCTTCTTAGGCATTTTCTGAAAAAAAAAATAGTTGTTTCCCGACAATTATGGCTGGACAGAGTCTCTGAACTCTTGATTTTCGGCCAGTTTCTTGCTGGGAAAGGGGCACCATGGAGGGTGATTATAGTGGGTGTAGGCAAGGGGCTCGCGTACCTCCACAACACGGTGCAGCCGACGATATTCCATCGTGATGTGAAGGCAAAAAACATCCTGCTCGATGCCGACATGAACGCGAGGGTCGCAAACTTTGGGCTCACGACGCCGAAAAGATAGGGGCAGTCTCACCTAACTACCCGTGTGGTCGGAATGCACGGGTATCTGGCACTGGCACCTGAATACGCCCTCTACGGGCAATTGACAGAGAAGAGCCATGATTTGGCTTTGAATTTAATATATAGAGAGAAAGAAGGGAAAAGGCACTTGGATGGAGCTGGTATGGTCGTGGCGTAACTTCGATAACGAGATATGAAGTCGAAACTTCTGATTGGAAAATAAAGCCAAGAACGAAGGAGAAATAGGGATGGCTTCAACTCGTTCCACATAGACCACGATCTAGAGAGACGATGCTCTGATGCCATGTTAGAATTCATGGGAGCATACATGCACAGACATTGAATGGAGAATGGAGAGTGAAAAAGTGAGAACACAACATTTATGTGGTTCAGGCCAAAGCCTTACGTCCACGGATCCAAAGCCCAATTGGCTACATCTTCACTAGTTTGGATGAATGTTTACATCAATAAGTACCTCTATATATAGAGACGTTCACACAATTACAAGAAAAAATATGGTATGATTCTTGGAGATAGAGGTAAATAGTGGGAGGCCTTATCATCAAACTAACTTGATGACCAAGTAAGTTTGATTTGGTCTCTTCTTATCTTCTAGATACTTAATCTTATCAAGAGATATACCCACACATCCATAATGATGTATATCAATATGAATCCAAGATATCCGTGTCCACCGAGTCCTGTTTTCGACTCTCTGATTTGTTTCTCTACCGAGTCATGTTTCGACTATCTGATCTGTCTCTGTCGAGTCGTGTTTCGACTCTCTGATGTATTTTGGATTTTGTTGTTCTCAATTCCAACTCTAATGTCCAACTGTTGATCCACTGCTGATTTCTGTTGGCTCTTCCACGGGCCTCCTATGTGACGATTGAATTTCTCAATCCTGGTTGATGATCAAGTTTTCCGTAACTTGATCCCGTTTAATGATGGAGTTTTCCGTTACTCCATCATTTGTGATGATCAAATTTTTCGATCTTGGTTGATGATCAAGTTTTTTGTTACTTGATCCTATTTGATGATGGAGTTTTTCGTTACTCCATCCTATATGATGATCGAGTTTACTAGATCCTATCTGCTTCAGATGCTTATGTTTAATGATTGAGTTTTCTGTTACTCAATCCTGTTTGATGATGGAGTTTTTTATTGCTCCATCCTGAGAGATGATCGAATTTCTTTCTGTTATTCAATCCTATCTATTGTTGAGTTTTTCGTTACACGTTCCCGGATGTTTCTGAGACCGTCTATTATTCTTGAGGCTTGTTGATCAGCTACTGCAATCTGTGCTGTTGTTCAAGCAATCTGAAGATCACTACTCATTTTTGGCAACTTGGTATTGTTCAAACTCCGCTGCTTTGTGTAAAAGCATCTTGAATTTGAGGGGGAGTATTTGGATATGGATATCTCAGGTTCATATTGATATACATCATTATGGATGTATGGGTATATATCTCTTGATAAGATTAGGTATTTAGAAGATAAGAAAAGACCAACTCAAAGTTACTTGGTCATCAAGTTAGTTTGGTGATAAGGCCTTCTACTATTTATCTCTACCTCCAAGAATCATACCATATTTATCTCTTGTAATTGTGTGATTGTCTTCTATATATAGAGGTACTTATTGATGTAAACATTCATCCAAATTAATGAAGATGTAGTCAGTTGGGCTTTGGATTCATGGATGTAAGGCTTTGGCCTGAACCATGTAAATGTTATGTTCTCTCTTCTTCTCTCTCCATTCTTCATTCAATGTCTGTGTATGTATGCTCCTACAAATTCTAACAACAAATACCCCCATCATTCTCAATATGTTTACGTGCCTGCAAATGCATATCCCTACCATTCATTTGCTCACATTCATTTTACACTTCACCGGAAACCCGAAAATTTGGCCGGAAAATTGAGACATCAGCTGAAATTTCCATGGATTTGACATCAGGTTTTGGGGCTTCAACTTTGGGAACAGTCATAGTGTCTTCACCCCATCCACCTTCGCATTCTCACGGAGCCTGAACCTCCTCATAAACTTGCCTTGACTTTCTCTTTCCACTTATCTATAGCACCTTTTCATCTTCTAACTCCACCTTCACCTCCTCTTTCTTGAGTCTAGGGAGATCGGCCTTGAACACAAGGGCGTGGTCAGTCTCTTCGCAATTGAACATCGCATTCAAGAAAGCAGAGGTTGCAAAATCACTGGGATTAAAATCGGAAGAACAGGAAATGGCTTGTGTTAAAAGGAGAAACGAAGAAGCCATCAAAAGGTTCCCAAATTTTAATGGTTCTCTAACAGAGAAAATTGGTTTTCGTTGGTTTTTTTTTATGGAGAAAGAGGTCTTCCTTTCACTATCTATTGCTGCAACTGATGAGAGAGAAATGGAGACGATGGGTTTTAATTAAAGGGAGAGGGAATGTGGAGATTAGAGAGAAAAGGGAGAAAAAGCTCCTGTCAACCCACAGGCTCATGGAATAGTGTAAGCCCAACAGTCCCGATTGAATCTGGTCCGATCCAATGATCACAATTGTATTTCATAATTGAATTTTAATTTTTTTCTACAATTCCAAGTTACTAAAAATTTGGAATGTCTATTCTTCAAGAATAATCGAATCTAATAAAAATATCAAAAAAGTAATTCAAATAAATTAAATTGATCAAAATACCCTCGAAAAGTTCTAGGGGTATTTTGATCAATTTATTTTATGTGAATTATTTTTTTAATATTTTTATTAAGTGCGCCTTGATGAGAAGAGTTTATGCTCCAAATTTCATGCTATTTGGATTTAAAAAAAAAAATATTAAAATTATATTATCGATATACAATCCTAACCGTTAGATTGGCCCATATTCAATCTAGGTCATTAGGCTTACACTGTTCCATGAGCCCATGGGCTCACCCTAGCATCTTCCTATATATATATATATGCACACACACGTATAGGACTATATCAAGATGCTCCTACGGCTGCTTCCTCAACAATGCTCCCAAAGTAGGGAGCTGGAGCCAAGGGTCGATCCCAGGCTTCTGCTCCAGCTCCCACGCCTGCTTAACTCCCAACAACTGTGCTTTACCTACTTAGTTATTCTAATTTTCTGTCCTTCACAGTCATTCAAAGATTTAAAAGGGAATTAGGAAAGCCTTTGTATAAGTCTTTGTTATGCTACATTCTCTATTTTTTGTTATCATTAGTCATCTCTCATATTCTACTTCCTTGGCTGTTAAAGTTGATGCCATGGAATATATAGAAAAATGAATTGTTTCAAGTGATCAAAAGTTTTCATGACGATGTTGATGAATATCTAGTGAACTCTTTTTCTGTTCAGTGTGCAGCCCAAAAAAGTTGTAAAGTTGGAGGGGTCCCCCAAGTTTCCAACTTGGGACCTATTGCAAGGGTATGGCAAAATCTACCACTCTGCCACTGTTTTTCTTTTTTTGGCTAAGCTATTAGCTTGAATGGATTTTTTGGGGAAAAATTCAAGGGTTCTACTGAATCCTGTGCTATAACTTTACCAAACTGAATCCTGACTATCAATCAAAATTTTCAGTAACCTGCTGGGAGTGTCGTGAAGTTTGACCTTCAAACTGCAAACAGGAGAATTCCTTCGTCTTAGATTATTTCTTTATATGAAATCCATCTTAGATGATGTTGCTTCTCTTGGCATCCCAAGGTTGATTTCGACAAGGTTTTGCTCATTCTCAATGGCCATGGAGAAGTTAATAACATGGTCTTTGCTTCCCTGGTCTCTCAAGCAATAATGCTTCCTTTGATAAGCCTTGTTGGGTCGTGATTAATAATGGAGTATGTTCAAGTATCCAATACTGAATAATGCTTCCGCTTTGGCTTTACCATTGGTATCTTATACTGTTTCCATTGGTATCTCATGCTGCTTCCAATGAAGTGAGATTGATATCTTTCATTTTTGCTTCATCTTCCTTTCTCTTGCATATCTCAAATAAGAAAGCCATGAATTAGTTTGGTGCACTCTAGTTGCAGGCAATAGAATGGCAAACCTGATCTAAATTAGTTCTGCAGTTTACTGATTTATCATGACTCCTGAGACTTTGTGCTATTGGCTTGGAACATTTAGATACAAGATTTCCTTGTTTAGTGCAAGTCAGCCAGTCCTTTAGATTTCCTGCATCCTTCTATGTCCTGTTTTGCTTGTTTGCAAGACAGAGAGACAATTAAGGTGACATGAACTGTAAGATTAGTTGACATATTTTTGCTGACATGCTAAAGTTTGAAGTATCCTCCCATGTATACATTCACATTAGCAGTTTAAAGTATCTATTTTATATGTACATGTCATCCCCCATTATTCCTCTCTTATTGTGATATTGTGTTCTCTATCAGCTCCATCGCTTTATGGAATCTTCCCATATGCTGGTTTGAAATTCTACTTCTATGAGAAGATGAAAAGTCAAGTCCCTCAGGAACATAAGAAAGACATCCTTGTGAACCTTGTCTGTGGATCTGTTGCTGGTTTATTGGGACAGACTTTAACTTACCCTCTCGATGTTGTCAGGCGACAAATGCAGGTATTTCTAAAAGTGGATTTTTTTGTTGAGAGAGAGAGAGAGAGAGAGCTGGATATCAACAATTAAGATTTAGTCTCAACAATGAGGTTCAGGCCTGGATTTCTGGTTGTTCACAAAACTAGGAAGTAAAAGAACAAAATTTTCAGGTACAAACACTATCAGATGGTGAGGGGGCAGTAAAGGGAACAATGGAGAGCCTCGTGACCATTGTGCAGAAGCAAGGCTGGAAGCAGCTGTTTTCAGGGTTGAGCATTAACTATATGAAGGCAAGCAAAACCTTTGAACTCTTTTCTCTCTCTCGCAACTGTAAATAACCCACTTTATAATAAGTCGTACTTAACTATTGTTTGCAAAGCCTATATGGTCTATCTAAATAATTTTAAAAGATTGTTATTTCCTCTCTATAGGTTGTTCCATCGGTGGCAATTGGCTTTACTGTGTATGATGGCATGAAGTCATGGATGAGAGTTCCACCACGAGAAGAAAAAACCCACTAAACAGTCTAATAGAGAAGCTGAGGCTCGTCTCTCCACTCATTAACGAGGTTTATCCATTTGCAATTTTCAGAAGGTCTTAGAAGGTCAGCTCAAAATCTGAATAATTTTTGTGGGTTCAGCTTTCTTTGGCATGTACTGATTATTCATTCTGTAAATTCATTCTTAATTCTGCATGTATCTAGATTTATATGGCTTCTATTAAAAAGGAGTTTTCCTACCTTTTTTTAGTCATTGAGAACTAAGCTTCCTTGGTGGCATGATTACCATTATATGCGACAATTCTTACTTGACTTACAAAATATTTGAAATTGAAAATGTAATAAAACAAATGTAGAAACCAGAAAGAGACATGCTAACTCCGATATCCTTATATATCTATTCAAACTTGGGTAATGGCTGGACCACACAATTAACCTGAATTCTTCCTGTCAAGCACAAGATATCATGATAAAGTGAGATTTAGCACAGACTTCAGGCATTTCAATGCGAATTCCAGTATCTTGTTAAACTGTCCCATAGTATTGTAGCTTCTGTTTCTGTCTTGAAACAAATTAGATCCATTTTATTACCAAACAACAAGGGGGAGAAAAAAAATCAGCCTTTCCTTTCTTATTTCATTTGATAGTTGGCTTAAAAGTAAACAACTACTAGAAAACAGAACATAAAGGATGGGAAGAACATTTTGCTGCAGAATAGGAAACATTTCCTAGTATATTTTTCCAAGTTGGGGATGCACCATAGGTGTTATAAAATTATCCATGCATTCCTCTTTGTGCTGCAACGTCTCTTTCAGATGGGAATTTCACTAAAATGGATTAAATTGGCAAAATACATTAGTGCAAATAAGATAATTAAATAGTGTTTAATATTGGAAATAGTGGAGAATGTAGTCCAACCTTCCCCACTTTTCCCTGTTACCATAGCTTTCCCCATTTGAAGGGTGAATTTTACAGTAGTGATTTTTGTCTACTTGCTTTTGCAGAGTGATTTTTGCTTGTTCTATAATTTTGTTTTTCAGTTTACTGATATTGGAGAGTGACTGGTGCTTGTTCCCAGATCAAAGCCATTCAGTTGCTTTTGAAGATTCTCTCTCACACACACTTAATTATTAACCACCTAAAATACCTATCATCATCATAATCATTCCAATGTTTTACTATTTTTAAGGTAGACTCTGTCATCAGATACACTTAGCACCTTTTCGAGTATACACTTAAGTCTCTTTTCGAGTATACACTTAAGTCCATAACCTCCCTGTTATGTAAGTAGACATATAATTTTTACTTTATTAATTTTGAATAAATGAATTAGTACTATTCGATTTTTCTCCCCTTGAACGAGTATTAGTATGATAGATGCCTTTGAAGTTTTGTTCGTACTGATTTCTTTTCTTTTCCAAGGTGGACATCTCTCTGTGTTTCTTTGTTACCATAGCACTTAATGATGGAGGCAAAATTCAAAATTCACTATTTTTGTGAATTTTTTTTTGACAATGTAGATAATGTGAAACACGATTTGTATGTAGCAATAACAACAATGGGTTCCCGATTTGTATATAGCAATAACAACATTGGGTTCCGGCTTTTTTGTCCAAAAGTTATAATGTCTATATATTTAAATATAATAATATATTTTCATAATTTAGAAATGTGGGACCCGGTCCAGGACCCGACCTACCAAGTCCAATTTTTGGACCTATACCCACACCCAGGTTAGGTCTATTATCGGGTCCAGATCCATTGCCACTCCTATCCAAAATGAACTAAATGAGCGTCTTTGTCCTTTGGGATGATCTCAAACCCAACAACAGCCGAGATATAGAGCTAGATAGGAAGAGAATAAACCTAGTGTTGAAAATCTCAGGCGAGACAACTCTACTCACCACCCTTGGCGAGTTTGACAATCCGTGAGTTGGGAGTTGATGATCTTAAAAAAATAGAAAATTCCAAGAAAAAAATGATAAATTTATTTATTATATGTGTTTTTATGTTTGCTATCATTTTATCAAAATTAGAAAATGTTTTCGCCACCATACTTATTTTTACATATTCCCTTTTTTTTTTGGATTTTTATAATGGGTGTGGTTTTTTTAAGGTTGCAACCTTTTTTTGACCAAAGTTATAATATTTTATTACTTAATTAGGCATCGATTACATCATTCGATAAAGAAATATAATCCATAGAAACCCCCCACTTAGCAAGCGCATTAGCTTCAAAATTGCCCTCCCTATATCATGTTGAAAGAAAATAGAAAAAGAAGCTGCCAAATCCATCACTTGACCCCAAAGTGATCTGAGAGACCAAGGAACTCGTTGCTCATTTTTACGCCACCTAATGACATTCAAGGAATTGCCTTCAACCAATATAAAGTTCCCTAGATTTATATTTTTAATGAAACGTAGACCAAAGAGCACTGAGGTAATCTCCACACAATTGGCCGTAACGTGACCAATTGGGCCAGCATAGGCTAACAACAGATGTCCCTGTGAATTCCTCACCACCCCACCAATACCTGCTTCAAGCGGATAACCACAAGAGCTACCATCGAAGTTTAGTTTCAGACAACCACTGTGAGGGGGGCCCAATCACTCTAGATGAAGTACTCCCAGAGAACGCCAAATTTCACAAGTTCCGCCGCTGATCCTTCTCCGATATACTCCTACCTTCATCTATAACTGACAACCAACTCCATGAGGTGTGGAGCACTCGATGCAAAATACCCTCCACTATGTAAGTCATACCATCAAACGTGCATCGATTACGCTCTTTCCACATCTCCCAGCATACTGTCCTTGTTATGATCTGCCAGAGAAAATGGCCTTTCTTAGGTAACCCTAAAAAGACCAATTGAGAGATAATGTCCAGTACATCCCTCGGCAATGGCACACTGAAACCTAATGCTGACAGGAAGTATGACCACATGTGTGAAACAAATTTGCAATGAATAAGAAGATGTGCAATAGACTCCCCATCTTCTTTGCACATGATGCACAGATTAGTTAAAATTTTTACTCTCTTGATCAAGTTATCAATTGTTAAAACCTTGTTTTGAGCAGCTAACCACAGGAAACATTGAACCTTATGAGGTATTCTCCATCTCCAAACCACAACTACACCAGGGGAAGACCATCGAATACAGTCATGGACTAACAGAGAATACATAGCTTTGACAGAAAATAAGCTATTGTTACTATGCTCCCACACCATCTCATCCTCCACAGAAGATAGAATATGGACTCCCTAAAGCTGCTCCATCAGAGTCGTAAACTGCATCAGAAACATATCAGAAACCCTATTATAGGCGAACTCAATCTTCCACACCAATTTTTCCCCACTCATCTGATAGCACTTACATAGCAAAGCATTAGGATTAGACACACTAGCAAACAACCCAGGAAAGGTAGACGTCAAGGGACCATTGCCTAACCACTTGTGATGCCAAAACGGCACCAATGTACCATTCCCCATACACCATCGAATATCCTTGTGAATATAGCCTTTGCATAAAAAAATCTCCTTCCAAACTACCAAGCGGATAGCACTTCCAGATCCCCTTTTAATCCAAACCCCAGACTTATCCATACCATATTTAGCTTGGAGCACCTTACACCACAACTGGTCTTTGAAGTGTAAGTTTCGCCACCACCACTTAGTAAGTAAGGCATGATTCATCAATGATAGCCTCCTAATACCCAATCTTCCCTCACTTTTGGGAGAACACACCCTGTCCCATCTAAGAAGATGGAACTTCTTTGCCTCTTCACGGGATCCCCACAAGAAATTCCTTTTCACCACCCTTGCAGGCATTTTAAGAAGGGACATCTGATAAATAGGTAGGTTCGCCATGCAGGACCGTAGTAGCGTCACTCTACCTCCTAAGAACAGATACTTTGACTTCCATAATATCAGTTTCACTTGTGCTCTTTGTATGACATTATCCCATTCAGATAATGGAAACTTCTTGTCAAAGATTGACACCCCCAAATAAACTATAGGGAAAGAATCAGTTTTAAACCCTATTGAATGAGCCAAAACTTCTATAAACTCCCTATTACAATTGATCCCCACCAACAAAGTCTTATGAAAATTGACCTTGAGGCCAACAGTTATTTCACAACATTTCAAAAATCTTCCAATATTCTTGATTTGTTCATGATCAGCCTTTGCAAATATAAGTGTGTCATCGGTATATTGGAGATGAGAAATTACTAGTCCTTCTCGACCTACAGAAAACCTAGTAAAGTTGCCCCTCTCTACCACCCTTGTTAGCATCAGACTAAAACATTCAGCATAAATAGTGAATAAGAAAGGTGAAAGAGGGTCTCCCTGATGAAGACCCCTCAAGGCTTTAAAGTATCCCTTCGGGCATCCATCAATAAGGACAGAAAAATATGCTGATGATACACTTCTAAAAATCCATTCCCTCCACTTCAACCTAAATCTCATCCTCTTCATAATCTCCATCAGAATGCTCCACTCCACTCTGTCATAGGCTTTTTCCATATCTAACTTCATCACCACACCTGGCTCTCCACCCATAGCTCTTCAATGAATATATTCTTGAGCTACAAGGATACTATCAGTAATGAGCCTATTATGGATAAAAGCCGCTTGCGGTCCAAAAATAACTAATAGAAGAACCTTATTCAGCCTCAATGCCAATAATTTTGTAATTATTTTATACAAACTTGTCAATAAGCTGATAGGTCTAATGTCTGCAAGACTCTCAATGGTGGTTTTCTTTGAAATAAGGGCTATAAAGGTGGAGTTGATACCTTTGAAAAGCTCACCTCTCTCTAAGAAACTACGAACCATAGCAAGCAGTTCCATAGATATCATGGGCCAAAACCTTTGAAAAATACATTGGGAAACCATCCAGCCCTGGAGGTTTGTCCCCTGATAAGGAGATGACAACAATTTTCAACTCTTCCAAAGATACCTCAGCCTCCAATTGTTCTACCATACCAATCGTGAGTGATTTAAAGGGGATGCGCTCCATTGATGGGGTAACATTAACTTCAGATGTAAATGCCTTGCAAAAATGATCAACAATTGCCCTATCACGCCCTTCATAGTCATCTTAATCCACACCCAGGATTGATAGACCAAAAATGTCATTATGCTTTTATGAGATCTAGCAATAGCGTGAAAAAACTTCGTGTTGAGATCTCCCTCCTTAAGCCACTTGACTTGGGACCTCTGGCTCCACTACACTTCTTCAACTCTTCGAAGATC